TGCCTGAGGGCTACCAGATGAAGGCAGGGCTCATGGCAAACTGGAGCAGATACTGCTGTACAGTAAGGAACAAAGTCTCTTGCAGTTTCAGAACTATAAATGAATAATGGGAACCAGGATTTAGCTCAACCCCTCGCCCTGCCACCAGCTCAGCCCCTGCTCAGAAATGCCCTTTACTCACCTCAAGCCCTTGACAAAATACACTTTTTTTTTCTTTTTAAAGAAACCCACAAACAATCAACAAGAGACGAGGGAGAGGCAGCAGAGACAAGCACTGCCTGGGCTCTCCCAGCACCTACCTGTGATATTGTTGACTACCCTGCAGTCTCCCGTCTGGCAGCACTCGCTGAAGCTGCAGTACCAGGCAGAGAGGATCTCCAGGTAATCCTGTCCCACCAGAGGCAGGCCCCAGCCTGAAAAGCAGCAGTCTGAGCAGAGGTGTTCCAGCAAGTTTGGGTTTTTCTGGGTTTGGTGTGGACGCTCAGCTGAGCCCGGTTAATGGCAGCTCTCCTCCTGGGTGCGGGCACTCGGACACTGCCCACCAGCAGCCCAGCTGGGTGGAGGGGAATAAGCAGGCAGCAGCTGGCTCGGGTGGGCGCAGTGAGACACAGCAGGGGAAAGCATGACAGCGACGTTTGTGGCAACCCAGGGTGTGCCGAGGGAGGTGCCAGGGTACTGAGCGACCCTGGGGAAAGGCAGCGTCCACAGGAGCTGGGGGAAGCAAGGTGATGGACCTTGCTGTTTTTGGGGTATGGGAGAGGGAGAGAAAGGAGGAAGGTGCTTACCTGGGCTGGGACCGGACTCTTCCTCCTCCTCCTCCTCTTCACAGCCCTCCTGCCACACTTTGCATGTCAGGTACTGCCAGTACTGCTTGGAGAGAGCACCCACAGCTCCCAAATGCTTCTTGACGGCTTCGTACCTTGCCCCGCTCCACGGCTCCCCCTCTGCCATGGGGCCCTGCTCCTCTTCCCACGGCCACCGCGTCGTCCCTCGGCTGCCCAGGCCTCTCGAGCCCCGCAGCAGCAGCAGGGAGCAGGCCAGCCCCAGGAGAGCCGGGAGCCTGCCCCGGCCCATGGCGGTGGGTCGGGTGTCCCCAACAGGCTGCGGACAGCCCCGTCCCGGCTCTGCTGGGTGCCTGCAGGCTCCCTGCCTCCCTTAAACAGCCTGAGCCGTGATCTCACTTCCTGGCCGCCTGCGATTGGAGTCGCTGGAGGAAAGCGGTGCGGTGCTGTCAGCGCCGCGCACACATGGCCTCGCTCCTGGCCCGTGAATGGGGGCTCCAGCGGCTCGGCACGGATCCTGCCTGCGCTACCCTGCAAAACCCAGCCCTGCTCCTGAAAGCAGGCGCCAGGCACCCCTCGGGTCTGTATTCCCGACTGCTTCCCGGGTCCTGCCGGGAGGAGGCGAGGCTGGAGAGGTGCCTAAGGAAGCTCCCGACACCACTGCCAGCCTTCCCGGAGCTGCACCACCGCAGCCCTCCCTCCGGCCTCCGCACCGCGGCACCAGCAACAAGTGCCTGGGGAAGGCAAATAATCTGGGGTTTTTCAGGTCAGGGGCTCGGCTGAAATTTTGCTGCCGCAAATGCAAAAGGCATCAGCAGCTGTTGTTCATCAGCGTCCTTTCCAAAGGACACGAAAATTACAGCCATAAACAAGGGAGCAGGAGGCAGTGGATGAGCCACACCAGCGACAGAGGGAGCTGCACCACCGTGTCTGGGGTTGGTTTGCTGCCTTCTGTGCTGTGAGTTTAGTGGTTAGATCAAAGCTCCAAGACAAATGGTTTTGTTGCTGGCTCTGGGGCAGGTTTGCTGTCTGACACTGGATGCACGTCCTTCCTCATCAACCCCAAGAAATGCTGCTGTTTACTTCTACATCGATGCATCTTCATCCACCAGTTTATCTAAATACTAAGACAAGGTATGGTGGCCTCCGCTCCTCACACCGCCAGGAAAAGGTATAATTCAGATCAGGACAGAACCACCATGAAATCGTGTATGAGAACTGAGGTACAACTCGTTACCACTACTGAGCTCACCTTCACCAATCCCTTTTCTTCAGAAAGCTGTAAACCCTCTCCTGGAGAGTGAAGCAGCACGCAGAGTCATTAGGGCTGGCTGCCTGTGCTTTGGCAGGAGATTCTAGGATCCCAGGCAAAGCCTGGCTTTTGGAAACAGGTATGCACACGAACTCAGCTGGGGGTAGGGGGTTTAAAGTGGATAAGCTCCACACAACTTGGATCTTACTTTAAGCTGTAGCCACCACTGGCATACTGTAAGAGACTAACACCTGTACAAGTTACTGAGCATCAGGACAAGTCCACCCACAACTTACGCTATCCGAGATGAGGCCGAGATGCTTTGGACACGAGAAAGAATTCCAAGGGTCAGAAAAATAAAAATAAGAAGGATACCAAGTGCACCTGATCCAGCCTGACGAGATTCTCTTGTTCAGGTGGATGGGGAGCGAGTGGGATCCAGCACCGCCAAGTCATGGAGTGGAGCATATCACCATCTACAGGTATCTATAAATATTACACATTTTCATTAAAGATACCGGTATTAACACTATTGTCCCCTCCAGCTTCAAAAATAGCGAGGCGAAAACCTTAGCAGCAGTTGCAATAACTTAAACTAAAAACATGCACATTAAAAAAATCAATTAAAAATCGAACTCACTGTAGCCATAACAAATTAAACTATCAGCCTTTCTGAAAACTAGCTAAAGCATCTGAATTGAAGCATTTCCTCAGGGAGGAAATCATCCCCGTAGACTGGAAAGCAGGCAGCAGGAGACTGGAAGAGATCCTAGTGCACTACACTGAAGAGAACTTGCCCATACCTGACTTGGGAAGGATGGGGATAGGAGGCACAGAAGGTACTGCCCTAGGAGAGCTTGTTGGGATTCTCTCTCTCCCCCCACCCCCTTCCCCCCCTTTATTTTTACTTCCTGTGCTGGAACATTCACTAGAGTATTTGCTAACCTTCAGCTAACAGTCTTGCAGGAAGAGGTACTGCAGGACTCTGCATGGCCCCAGAGATGATCACAGAATCATAGAATGGCTTGGGTTAGAAGGGACCATTAGAAGACCCCTTCTAATGCAGAGCTTTTCACCTCATGGCTGCTTATTCCAAAGGAGTCCTGGTGAGCAGAAATCACCTCATTAAAAATCCAGATCTTAGGTCAAGTCAGGCCTTACAGTGCAGGGATCCTCTCAAAACAGATTAAAAACAGCACCATAAAAATGTGATTATGCCTGCCTTATTTAGCACCCCTAATGCAACTCAGGACAAGCAAATACTCAGAAGGAACCCTGCAATCCAGGATTTTATACTACAGGCTTTATCGCCTGGATGGGGAAATGCCATGCTTCCATCCTTTCAGGGTTTTTCAACTTTCCATACAGCAATTCATTCTGCACATCCATAGATGAACTCTGAAAGAAGGCAGGAGGAAGAGAAAAGTCTCTGCAGAGCGCAGTATTACACAGCAATGAATTAGATCACTAAAAAATAAGATCTGGAATAAAGGGTATAAGGGGAATCCTTTGCCCTCCTACCTTTAGTTCTCCCCTTCAAGCCCTGTCCCCAATCTCTTAAAAATATTGAGACTCCACAAGATAAAAGCAGAGCACCAGTCCCACACCTGGGGTGTATTAACTAAGATCTTATTTTAATTTCTAATATTTAGAAACAATAAAAATTTGGAGGGAAAGAATTTGAAAGAAATTCAGGGAAAGTGCTGATTTTCAAGCCCCTTTGATTCTGCCATTGGCTCAAAGTTGTTTCTGTTCATTCTTCTGTAAAATTATTTTCACTACGTAATCAGAAACACATTAAAATCTTTCAGTTACATGAATTCTCACCCTGTTACTAAGGCCAACCACTCCAAAATTACATAGCAGTAGGACAACAAAGCGCTTGTAAGAACAGCTCTCCAAACTAGCTATTTCAGCCTTTCAAAACTCAAAAGCATCTGTAATTCTGCAAGTTGTTGAACTGCTAATACACAGGAAAGAATCCTGTCCTGCTCCTGAGCAGACTGCACCTCAAAAATAGAGATGGAGGATACAAAAAATTAGTGTCACCACACAATGCTAGGAGACAAAAAAAGAAAAAACAACCCCAGAATATCCACCCCCCAAAATCCCCAAAACAAAACCTCCAAACAATTCTTAGAAAACTCAGCAATGCTGAAGTTGAAAGTTTCAGCTGAGAAAGCCTAGTTTAAAAAACAGCAGGTGCCTTTGGTTGTTTCACAACATGATGCTGGTGCTACAGGCCAGGTCAAAGGCTGTCCCTGCCCTTCCAGGAGTGGCACAGTGCTTTGGCTGTTTTGGGGTGTCCTGTTCCCAAGAGCTGTACGGGGACTGGCAGCAGCTCACGCAGCCCTCAGAAGTACAGAGCAGCTCTCGGTGGCTTCTTTGCCTTCCAGATGTCTGACATTCAGAACTGTGAGCATCACCTCTTACCTCTGAAGAACTCACTGCAAGGGGTTATTACAAAAACAATCTCCAATACAGCCAGATTAAACCCCTGCACTCTGTGGGAATAGATTTTGATGCCTGTTTACTTGCCCCATCTTACAAAAAGCTTAGAAAAGCTAGCCATGAACACCTGCCAACTCTACATGCATCTCTTGCTTCACAAAAGAAAGCCAGCCTACTAGGACGCAACCAAGAGATCAGCCTAGGTGCCTGGCAGAGCCAGGCCACAGGATGCACTTTCAAAAGCTGTCTTTTGAAAGAAGACCATTTAAAGCTAGGTGTGTTCTGCTGACACAGAACAGAACACATCTTTTTAAACACATCTTTCCTTACCAGCAAGACTCTTGCAAACAACCTGGACATTTGACCCCATTCCTGGATATACATGACTGGAATAAATGCCACTGATAACTATTAGTGAAGGAATAACTGAAACAGCGGTAGCAAAACACTCTGAACAGTCAGGCCAATAAATGTCGGACCGAAAGAAAGAGAGAGACTTAAACAATCCATCAATGTTGCTTTATTAAAATCTTTATTCACACAATGTCGCTTTATGTGGAATCTGACCCTGGGGGATACAAGTAGAAAGTCACGATTGCATTCTGTTTTCTTATTAGCAACCTCCATTTCTGCAGCTGCTCCCAGGGGCAATCCTCTGACAGCTCCAAGAGGGGTGTCTGTTTTGAGCATCTTGCTCCAGCCGCCACAGCAAATAAATTACCTTCTTAATAAATTAGTATTTTTTCAGTTGAAGTTTGTTTGGCATGACACACTCCAGTTCATTAGCTGCTGGAAGAGGAGCAGGCTTCCGTGTCTCCTCCAGCCTGACTGCTGACTTCGTAAGGAGGAGATAAATAGCAGATGGCTGATGATGCTCTCTTTTTAATTAGTTCTTGATTTCTGTGCTTCAAGCGCTCCTATATTACTAATATCCACAACACAATCGTTTTGTAACATCTGGAGCCAGCAGATGACAGTGTGCACAGTGAACAAGAATTAGAAGGTGTCATGAAAACCTCATCAACAGAGCATAGCACCTGCCTCACAAATGACACTTTTTCAGAGATTCAAGCAGACCCTTTTCACATGTGGATGCTGCTGCTTATTTCTCAGGGTTCTGTATTTGAACAAATCACTGCCAAAATGCCAGAGATTATCACAAGGCTAAAATCAGATCTTCCTGATTCTGGGTAAGAGAGGAATTTATTCTTTTTTCCTGCTTCAGAACACCATTCTCCAGTGGTGTTTACAGGGGCCAGAAGCATCAATATGACAAAAAAAAAGAAAAAAAGCAAAAAAGCAACCATTTCTTGCTTCCTCCTACTGATGATGCCGGACTTCACGCCCTTTGTTCAAGTAAACCAACACACTGCTTTAAATCTTTGACATTCATACTGGGGATAAACTTATCCCCAGGTTCCATCTAACAGCAATAGCTTCAGCTTAGAGCCCTGTGAAGAAACAATACGTAAGTCCTGAACACCAATTTAATTTCATAAAGACAGAAAGACTTTTTTTGGAATCCATTATTAAATCAAATGTAAACGATCAAGAGTGATCACACAGAAATCAAAACATCGAATTTTGGTAGATCTTTTCCAAAATATTAAGTGCTCATGATTAAGCTCAAAGAGAAGAACATACTTTTAATAATGCTACAAGCCATTACCATGTGCTTCACCATCTACTCTTTATGTAAATCAACTTAAATTTCCTGGGAAAGACTTTATGCCAAAATGCCTCAGTATGAACCTGTTCTGCTTTAGAATAAAAGCATTCACTAACCACCTCACTGCTGCCCACAGTCCTTCCCACAAATGTCTCACTCAACCACTGAAATCTAATGGGCAGTGAAGTGACAGGCCAGCTAAGCCAGCGAGGGCCCAGGACAATCTCTGCATGGCTCCTGCCCACACTCACCATCAGCTAGGCATGCTCACTTCTGCCCTAAGGAAAACTGCAAGGCACAATCCACACTGGTAGGTCCTCACTGAAGGACCATGGCTTCCAAAGCACGTTATGTTATTAAGTACAACAATAAACAGGCACTAGCTTAACACCAGTGTCCTAAAAGCTGTCTGTGCATTACAGTCCTGACTGGTAACACAAATAACTCCAGATCCCATCCCGGCTCTCAGGTGCGTGTGCGATATGGCCAAGTCCAGAACAGTTCTAGAAGAAAATAAAATTCAGTTTAACAATTGCATTCTACTTTCAAGATACTCTGCTCATGCAATGACAGAAAGACTCCAACAAAATAAAACTGCATTTAAAAAATAAACTCACTTATACTTCTTTGATCAGGTACAGCAGCAGGTGCAAGAACAGAAACAGCTCTTTATCTGCCCCAGAAACTACCACAGAGTTAGAAAGGTTTTGACAGGCAAATCAAGGAAAAATTCTTAAACTGACATTTTGCTGCTCTTGCTCCCAAGTCCAATAATACATAATCACTTTGGGAAGTGAGCTCTTTCCTTACTTCTAAGGACCACACTGTATAAACTGAAAACTGATGCAAAGCTGTTAAATTTGGGAGTGTAATGATAAAACTGATTCCCTTCTGGAGAGACAGATTCAGACCTACCACATGTGTGACAGGTTTTGCACCCACAAGCTTATCCACAGTGCAAGCTGACACAGTGCTGAAAGATGACAGCACTAGCACTAGATGAGAGCTACAAGTCTGCCCCAAAAGCCAAATTACACTAGCTCTCTCTCCCTATCTAGGGCAGAGTCATTAGGAGCGAGGACCTGGGGGTGACTACCCCAGTCAGAACATTGCAGTAGTAGTTGCAGGAAGGCAGAAAACTTTCTGGAAGTGCTCACAGCTTCAGAGCTTAGCCACAAGCCAGACCAGCTAAACAGTGAGACTGAAAAACTGCTGGTGTTCCACACAACAGCAGCACTGAGCTGTGGTTATAACATCAAGCAGGAGGAAGCTCTCTCCATATGAAGACCATGGCTCATGGTTCTCTCCACTCTTCAGGGCCTTGCCCATGGCTGTTGGTTACTGGGGAAGTTTAGCAGTACACCTCTCCTTCTCCAGTACAACACACACAGACTCCCCACATTAAATAGGGCCTACAGTAAAAGCAGCATGACCTCACTAAATAGAACCTGCTTCCGAGGACAGAATCCGTCATCCTTCTTTGCTACAATATAATGAAAATTTGGTTAATATGGGCACAGGACTGCAATGATATTTTCTCTACCCAGACCTTGCCAGATTCCATAAAAATGGAGAACAGTGACAGGACACATGAAAACTTACTATAACCCCTTAATTACCAAGTGCTGTATAACCACCCTGTCCTCCCCTCTATCTCCATCCCTGTGGATAAATCTTTGATAGGACTTCAGCAAAAGCACCGAAGCATTATCACATGAGGCAAACCTCTTTCTCAGCCTTTTACCAAGGAAAAGACAACTGAGCAGCAGAGATCCCCTCTCCCACCCCTGATGGCATTCAGAAGAACATCCCATCCCCAGTGGCGGGGTGGCACAACTCTTCAGTCTAATAATTTATTCACCACTTCCTCTTTCTCTAAAGAAGCAGTAAAATGCCTAACCAGCTCACAGCTGATTACGTACAACCCTGAATCAGACAAAAACTCGCAAGAGTATATGTGGGGAAGAGAAGGGCAGAGGATCGTACTGTTCATCTCCATTTGTTCCCTCTAGATTCGGTCTACAAATTAGTGTCTGTATTCCACACACTTCCACCAACATCAAGCGCCACTTTTAGCCAGTGCAATGCCCACTGCCGGCAATGGACACACACCACAATGACCGACATGCCATTACAAGTACTGAGCTATCCAAGGCTCCAACTTCCCACCTCTCACTGCTGTCAGCCCAAGGTAAAAGCTAGTGTCACCTCTGTTTCTCTGTCTAGGAAGCTTTCCTGTTCATTTCAGTCCATCTTGGCCGCAGCCTTTCTGAACTGATTGTGCTGTTTTTCTATCACTTTTCCGTTTGTTTGTAAAAAAAGGAGTTTCATCTGTGTTCCACTACAATTACAAATGAGACAGAGTCATCCTGTCTTCCACCAGCACAACATCTGGCCCAAACTGGTCTGTGCACTGCTTCACTGTAGCCAGAATGCTGAGAAGCCGCTGGTCTAGGGCATCCAGATGAGGGTCAGAAAGCACTGGTGAGATGGGGTCATGCGACATAGCAGTTTTTAAGGCAGACTTCAATGCTCCATTTTTCAGGTAATTAAGTCTGTTCCAGGTAGAAACCCGGATGCTGCAAAAGACAGAAACGAACATGTCATTATACCACTGTCAGATGAAGCCCCATCAACAATACCAAAGCAAATCTCTTGAAGGAGCCTGTCACACCAAGAGCGGAGCCTCTCTAACAAAATGGTTTTGGATGGGAGGGTCCAGATATAACTGCATTAGAGGCAATATCTAACTGGAACTTGAAAACTGAAGGTGAAGAAGAAAAAAAACTAATTTGAATTAATTCTTACGTCATATAAACCCACTTGCAGCTGCTAGCAAGGAAGTTCTTCAGTCCTGAGGCCTCCCAGACACAGTTTGAAAAGGAAAGAAAATTAGTAGTCTGGCTGCTAATTCAAACACAAAACTCATGTCACCTCAGGAGGAGTATCACTGAGCAGCAATTAATCATGAAGAACAAAAGTCAGTTGACTGAACCTCCAAGAAAGTAAACACAGCAGTGATCTTTCCGCTCCATTTGCCACTGAAGTCGTTCATATTAGCCCACATAAACTGAGTTGTTCTGTGAAGTTTCTTAGAATTCTCTCTCAAATTTTTGTGGTTTAGCACCATTGTTCTAAATTCTTGGCTATTAATGGACTCTACAGAAACCAGCAATATAACCATGCGCTGTAATAAACCGATAGTTAAAACAATTGTGCATCTTAATTTTTATATGGCATTTTGCCTGGTATCAGAAAGAAAGGATATCTGAAAAGCAGGAACTGTGAATTTATGTATTACATAGACAAACTCCTTTTCTGGTTGCATTTGGGAGAACCTAGATGAGAAAGATTCCAAAAGATCCTCATAAAGTGGGAAATTACATATGCATTTAGAATTACTGTAGGAAAACTAAATAATTTGAAAATCATTTAGTTTAACTGTTCTCCATATGGTTTCTAAAAGAATCTTGCAGAACATAGGCCAGATGTACTGTAGCATGCATAGAGCTTTGCTCAGAGCAAGCAAGGGGTGAGAGCTCAGGCTATCCGCAGAATTCCCAGGTTTCACAGGTCCTGAGGAATTCAGGAGACAGAACCTTCCAAGGATAGGCTCAAGGAACTCAACTAAATGCTTAATTTGGAAGGCTTAACAGAGTTAATGTTATCTTGAGGTAGCAGAAGCAGAAAACAGGTCAGTATTTTTCTTCCTGGAACTTTTAATAGAATGGTTTGGGTTGGAAGGGACCTCAGAGACCATCTAGTTCCAAACTTTCTGCCACAGGCAGGGACAACTTCCATTAGACCAGGTTGCTCAAAAGTTGCTCTAAGCCCTGTCCAACCTGGCCTTGAACACCTCCAGGGATGGGGCATTCACAGGTTCTCAGGCAACCTGTTCCAGTGCCTCACTACCCTCACAGTAAAGAATTTCTTCGTAACGTACCAACCTAAATCTACCTTCTTCCAGTTTAAAGCCATTGCCCCTTGTCCTATTACTACATGCCCTTGTAAAAAGCACCTCTCCAGCTTTCCTGTAGGCCTCTTTTAGGTATTCAAAGGCCGCTATAAGGTCTCCCCCCCTGCCCCAAGCCTTCTCTTCTCCAGACTAAACAAGCCCAACTTTCTTAGCCTGTCTTCACAGGAGACGTGCTCCAGCCACCTGATCATCTATTCATTAATGACAAGTAGCAGTGGCCTGGTGAGAGAGCGGACACAGAAAACAGAAATCAACAAGTCACAGCTTCTAAAACTAAAACAAAACCACACCTCAGAGGGCCAAAGCAGAAACAAAATCCTAAAAAACCCTACAAATGTCACATTGAAAGGAGCACCCTGAGCAGTGCTGCCATCTTGTTTAGAAAGAACATTTGGCAATGAAGGTTGTTAAATTGCCAGATACGGTTAGTTGTTAGCTTCTGTCAGGGAGGACTCAAACTGTGATGTGAACTTTTATTCGGCAGGATCTGGATGGAGACAACTGCAGATGCAAAGTACCTGTCATCCTGACTAAGGACAGATTTGAACCGGTGACCTGGAGGCAAGACTACTTCCTACAGTTTACCATCTGATTTACTACCCTAATGAAAATGTATTTCTCAGCTTCTTGAGCAGTGACAATACATCAAACAAATATAGTAAAGCAAACATTTTCAAGTTGCCAGAAGGCTTCAAACTTAATTACATTGCAAACCTAAGGACAGCAATTGCATAAATAAAGTGAGCAGCATCCCTGCATTTCACTTACATGCAGCACTGATAAAGAGGAGCCAAGATGCTTCTTTCATCCAGGGCAGGATTTCCAAAGCTGAAAAGCAAAATTAAAATCAAGTGAACCAGTTGAACTCCTAATGCTGTTCTCAACATCAAGAGATTGGTAAGGGATTAGGAAAAAAAAAATCAATACTAGACAATTCCATACTCCAACAGATCAAATCATTTAAATTAAAATATAAACAGGCTATGACCAGTTACAGGTATAACTCTCATCAGTGTCAGCTAATGTACCAGGTAAACAGAAGCAACACTAGTGTACCTCCTTCTTTATCAGACCAAGGCACCTTAGAAACAAACTTCAGAGGAGTGAAGCAAGGGAAAGGAATAATTGGTATTCTGGACATAGAGAGCAGAAGCATTGCGTGTTTGACGCAGCTAAACAGGGAATGAATGAAATAGCAGCCACGTGCTGTTTTAGATGGCCAAGCTCAGATCAACGGTTCAACTAACAAGCTAACCAACTTTAATCTTTCACAATCATACTTTCCAAGGGAGGCCTGCCAAGAGGCTTTCATAATATTTTAGCTTCATGTAAGAAATGCTTTCTTCATTTTTTAATAGTTTCACTCTCCTGGTAATACCATTTTCAACAAAGAACTTTGCCCTCAATAAAGATAACTCACTCTAGGAACCTGGCATTACTCAGCTCAAATAATTTTGTTATTAGGAGCTTTAAAACTGGAATAAGCTCCCTGCAGCACCAAGAACATATCTGGACAATGCTTAGTCATATGATTTAGTTTTAAGGAGCTGTGACTAGATGATTCTCATGGGTCCCTTGCAATTTGAAATCTTCCATGATTCCATGAAAAACCTGTGCCCCTATCGCTTATCTCAAAGGAGCTGAAAGAATTTTACTTAAGCTTTTAAGAAAACAATTTATTCCTGGGCCTGCAAAGCCCCACCGGAAAAGTTTTCATAATGTTACAAGCATGTACCATAATGAAAGGACATGACCTTCCACTACCATATTCACTTCCAGTGACTAATACATTAACTTCCTCCTAGCACACTGCCAGAGCATTACAGAAAGACCATTTTTCCAAATTCAACTAAAGCAGTCTGAAAGCAGCAATAATTCAACAGTCCCAAGGTAGAATACATCCTGCTGACACAGCCAAAGGAGTGTGACTGAACAGGCTGATGCATAAAGACAAAATATGCAAGTCAGCCACTGCAGACAAATTTAAAAAAAAAAAAAAAGAAGGAAGCAATCTACTACACGAAAGGCAAATGGAGAATGAAATGGTAACTAAGCCTTCTAAGGATCTGTCTAGACCAGAGGTCTCAAGACCAGAGGTCTCAATTGCTGTGTACATTTCATACAAGCAGTATGCAAAGCCACTATAGAGCACAGCACAGGTACTGCCAGAGCTAACCATCAGAATCTGGTCCATCCACAGAAGGGGAAACTCACTGCCACTGCAAATGGTAGTGCCCATCAGAAGAAAAAACAGGGAGTCTCTGGACTAAATTGTAAGAAAATGTAATATGTTACCTCTGTTTTTAAAGGTAAATTAAACAAATTATGATTTAAACAAGGTTGTATCTTCAATAGGATTTTTAAATTATACTATACCAGCCACACACAAAAACTATAGCAAAGACAGAACTCACATTTAAACACATACACACAGTAAAGTTAGGCCTCAAGAAGAACTTCTCATCAGTTCTATCTTCAATTTACACATTTAACCTTTTAAAGCCAGAGTCCAGAAAGCAGGGAATTCCAATTTATTCAGAAACACATTTTGAAAGATTCGCTTTTACTCTGGAACTTACTAACAGTCACTGTTGAATAATAAACCATAAGTCTTTAATCTTTCATTAATTAAAAGCATAAAAGAGAGGGGCTTTTCTGGGGATAGGAAGAGAGACACAAGCAAACTTTTGAAAGTGGCTTGGGGAAAAAAAGTCATACTGTGCTAACCTGGGAGTTTCTGTTGTTTGAGTAAGACTTTGCCAAAAGCAGTCATAGTATCTAGGGCACAGAGCAAGCAACGCAGCCTTGAAGGACTCTACTATAGGATGAGTAATTTCTGATAAGAAGGAAATCTTTGGATTTTTAGCACAAACGGTATTAATGAAAAAAGTTGTGGAAGAAAACAGAGAGATACAGAGCAGATAAATGTTCACCCTTGTGTTCACCACTGCCTGGCCACCAGCATTTCCTTTACCCTCACCTTTTGGCATTATCCAAGAGGATGAGCATACTGGCTCCTTCATCATCCTGAAAACTCTCATAGTGATGCCTGTCAGCATTCCCAATCAAATAGTCAAAGATAGCAGTGTCAATGATATCAAGGAGACGAGGGCCCGAGTCATATGGTGAAGTCTTCTTCACAGCATCACAATAGCTTTCATCATACTCCCACCTGCAGGCCACGAAGAGAAAACAAATCAAACCTTCTAAGAATACTCCATTGTTGCACAGCAATGGTATTTATAGCTGCCGCTTTATTCACATATGAATGCAGTTAAGGCTATATAAAGAAGAAAGAACTAGACAAAAGTGGTTTAATAGAAGAATAAATTCTTTTTTAAAGCTCTAGCATATGGAGCAAGCTATAATTTCAGTGCAAGGCTACACATATTCTTCCTACAGAAAACAAGGTTGGAGTTTGCTTCATCAATTCAGCAGTGGTTGGACTGCCTCACAGCAAGATTACTGTCATGACTTGTCTCCGTTAACTTCTAAGGATTTCAAATCCTGCATCTGATTCTACTGCCTTGATCTGCTTCCATGACTCTTGCTTTCCAGCAGTCCTTTTCATTTTTATTTTCAAATACAAATAAGCTCATCTTGGTTACTAATAACCACCTCCTATGTATTCATTCTAGCTCATCAGTTGCCACTTTCTCCCCTACTTTCTTTCAACAGTATCTCACCTTCTTCTCCACTGGCAAGATTTCAAGCTTCCCTCTTCTCTCCTCTCCTTCTACATGTAACCTAGAAATGTAGTTCCATTCTCATTACATGGATGTCATGTCTCAATTCTCCAGAGCTAGGATTTGAAATTTTCTCATGTTATTCTTTACAGTTTTCAAAGCTGAAAGGACTGAAACTATCCTTCACAAAATAGCAGTTAAGTTGGAAATGCCTTAAACCATCTGTGACTTAGAAAAGAGGAAACACAAGCTGGAGAGACTTGTTGACATGCTCAAAATTGCAGAGGCACATAAAAGCAGGGAGAAGGTAAGAATCTGCCTACTAGAATTGCCACATACCCCACCTCATCTTCTAGAGGTCTGGAGCCTAAGCTCCCAATATCCCATCTTTCCTCCAGTTATTCAAATCAGAGTGGGCAAAAATTTATCTTCTCAGTGTTTTTTTTTCAACACGTCACATATGCTCCGCAATCTCTGTCTTTAGTTCCCTCTTTCTTCTGCATCAAGGTCCAGCCCACATTCAACTTACAGCACAAATCCACAAGGCAAAAGTCGGAGAACATAATCCTCTTTGTACTGATACATTTCTTTTATGCTACATTTCTCTCTCCCTCAAGTGTTTCCATTTCCCTCATTTTACTTCAGATCAGTACTTAATCTCCCTGCAACAATTTTTCAGATACATTATGGTCTCTCTTCTCATTTTCTATTCAGTTGCTCAAGACAGACCTTTCTCCGACATTTATTTCTGATCATTTCTATTGTATTATCATAGGACTTCGAAGGTCAGGGATTTTATCTATTACACTCCATTAAAAATTATGTACACTAATGTGACTATATGAATTATGTTCAAAAGGTCAACTCAGGACAGAGTAGAAGCAGCTAGATCAGGAAAAAAAATTCCTACAGAGTTCTTTCTCCATAATCACCAGACACAGCAAAAGGAGTGCACGACATCTAGAACATTTAATTCTCCTGATGCTCTCAAAGTGAAAAGCGCAACATGACAAGGTGCAAAACAACAGAACCATGCAATCCCGGTTGAATGAAGTAAGAACAAGTAAGTTTAAAATACAATAAATCGAAAATCAGTGTAGGTATCAGGGTAAACTCCTGTGTAGGCAGGCAGTTTATGACAAAAAAGTCTTTCAGAAAAGAAACGCCTCCAAGAAATTAAATCCATTCATTACTGCAATTTACCGTTTTCCATATACAGCTGATTTAGACCTGTTGGAAAGGAGATAACATCTGCTGCTTAAAAATCAAACTGTATATTTAATACTCTAAAACAATTCAATTAAGCATTTGGATGAGATTCTTTCTCAGAACAATCACGTCATTGGAAATCAATGAGTATTTTATATCAAGGACTAAAAATCTCTTTCTAGTGTCTTGTCAAGGACTTGGAAAAATTTATGAAGCTCAAAACCATTTGCTCTGGTCATGGAAAAAACATCTCCAACACAACTACTCAGACATGTTACATCTATCGTACAAAATTGCTAGATCCCATGTTTGCCTTTCTCTAAAAGCATTTCTTTAGATGCTGAGCATAGTCATCAAATACACCAAAGTATTCAAAGCAAAGAACTTTCTGTTGCCTACCTACTTTAGATAAACTAGCTCCACAACTCTTAAACTACAAGGACCATGAAATCAGGTCTGGCAGAAAACAGCAAAATGCCACCATATTTTAATGGGCCAGAAGGAGGCACAGTATCAAAAGAAGGTCTAGTGGCAAAAGAGGAGTCTTGGTTTGCCCAAAATCAAGAGTTTCAGAGCTTGGAATGACTGCATAGTGGAGTTCTGTTCCAGTAAAGAAGTAGGAAAAGGATAGCACTTAGTAGCACAGAAAACAATTGAGATTTCTTTCTTACTCAGTTTGATTTAAATCCCCTCCTAGACTTCTAGACTTCTCTCTTTATCAAGAAAGCTGTTGGCAAAACTCTAGGTTTTGAGAACACTTGCTCCTTAATTAGCCACTGTATCGCATGGGTAGTTCTAATACAAATTATCATGCATAAAGAATAACCCTTTCACATTCTCATACCTGGCAAGTTTGCCTTCACGGTAAGTCCTGCCCCATGGGTGCCGATGTTTCTGAAGAGGCCAGACATCTGGAAGCCACAGGGTCACTGACCCCTCCATGATGTCACCATCTGCACAAGCTGGTTCTGTTTCCCGACAATAGTAGCACTTCCCATAGAAGCAAGTGTTATTACCTTAAGCAAACAAACAAAAAAAGAGATATTAAAAGAGCAGAGCTTAATCCAAAGGATGCCAACTGAAAATCAGGTGCATATTGTTGCAGCACAGCCTTCCCTGCAAAAGGATTTCACTGCACTTGACCTCATGTTTCCTACCTCTGAGAGGGAGAAGTGAAATAAAGTTATCTATTCATTCAAAGCAACATCAAAGACTAATATTCAAAGGAGAGAGTAACTACTTTCTAATGTTTCTATCACACTCAGAGTTAGTACAACACTGTGCTATAAACAAGTTTTTGTGATCCCTCCCTAATCCTTAGAACCTTGACTTTGCAACCTTAGCACTTGGTTTTTTTTTAAATTTCATACTTCATGTGTCAGATTTCCCACTTTTTGAAAAAGTTGGCAAAAAAGAAGTAAGTGAAAGAACACTAAGCAGAACTCAAATGGATTTGCAGCCCTGAGACCTGGTACCCATCTCAGTTACTTGAGCTGACTTGGATGGGGAAACACAAGCAAGCGGTCATTCTTACAGGAATGCAGTTCTGTGAAAGTTTCATGAGTGTCTTCTGACAAGGAGGGGCACAATGAAACCCTGCACTTTTTAATTTGTTATGGCCTGTGTTGCCTGTAGTGGAAAGAAATCTATGTAGCCTAGATTAACATTTTTAACTTAATCTTTTCTACTTCACCCTTCCTTTGCCAAGTTATTTCACGCTCACAGATGTTCTTCCAAGACATTCTTCATCTGCGTCTCACTTCCTTATGATTCTACCTATTCCCCATCCTTTTTTCCTTCAGTTTTACATTCAGTATCCCTCCCCAAACCCTGAAAGACGTGTTTTTCACTTTCCATCCTTACACATCACATCCTTACACATCCCCTGGCCAGCCAGCACTCCTTTGCAGTCGTTCATCCAGACCCAGCTCTTGTGCTCCCACTACCCCAGTCAGACAACCTAAGGACATCAGAGAGGTGATCATTAACAGCACAGAGCTTGCAGCAGACCAGATCTCTCATTTGTATGGAAAGTCCTGCAAGTTTCTCTTCCTATCCATGGCCTGCAGCAGGTCTAGCAAGAGACAGAATTCTTTGAGATTCTAGTTGCAACTCTAGCAAATCTGCACTGGGTACGCATGAATTATGTTTTCTTCAAAACCTCGGAAACTTGGTCAAATTTGGGTTGACAAGAGACCAACCTTCTCCCCAGACCCACCCATTTCTTTGGTTCATGCTCTGCAGAGCGGTTCCAAGGAATCTGAGGAAAGGCAATGAAAATTCCTGCAACCTACTTTTCAAGTCAGCGTTTCTGCTATAAAACTGCTTAGTTATCTTGGCTGAAATTAGAATAAGTAGTCTGCCTGAGGCAGACACCCAATGTGAATGCAAAGAGTTTGGCAAGGCAGACCTACTCTGATCTGAAAGTTACATCTTATAACTGAAAGTGTTAGGCAAACAGTAGGTGAGACTGCCAATAGTGCTCATAATAGAAATACACACAGGCACACATATTTACCAGCTCTAATGAACAAGCATCTCTAGAGTCTCCTTATTAGAAAAAAAGCCAAAGACAGTAATAATTGGATATTGTATGAAAGCCTGAAGGAGTTAAGACTGCAGCCTAAGTAATTTCTTGGTGTTTAATGACCACCTGGTAGGAGTTCACATTAATAATTCCCATTAAGTGCCCTTCACAGCATTATTACTGTAAACAACATACAGAAGTTCTGACACATTTAGTTATGAATGCTCCGCACACTCTGATGTAGCACAAACAACATCTAATACCAACCAACACATCAGCTCTATAAATTATCCCAAATCACCACTGTGCTCACGTTAAATTCATTTTTCTTCTTTCCAGGTCCAATCGCAAACTTTTCTAACCACCCCTGATGGCAGAAAGAAAATTCTTACTTGAAACAAATCACATCTGTAACACCAGCATGAGGGAACATAGAAAAGTTACAGAGGAAAAGTTACTTGGAGAAAATCAAGTCCTCCTCCCCGCCAAATGGGGTTATACAAGTGTTACGATCTCTCTCGGCACAGAAAGAGACTTACCAGCTTTCTGTACCATAGTTCAGTGTTCTATAACTGTGTCAGATTCCCATGGCTCACTTTCTCCACTAAACACGTTGGGGTTTTTTTACTGGCTTGCACATTTCATGGAATCCACTTACCCACAGTCATGAAGGTACCCAGAAGCTGCTCTGTGGCTACTGGTTTGATCTCTGTACGTAAGTTCACAAACCTGCCAACCACCAGCGGAGCTCGTCGAAAACCCAGAATTCTGATTTGTGATGAAAAAACATGACATGAGAATTTGCAACATAGGCAGCAGTCCTAAATTAAAACAAACCCACAGCCTCTGTGCCATCATCTGAAAACTGAGATAACTGAGAACAAAGAATAAAGTTGGAGCCCTGCAGCAACCTCTTCTTCAAGGCAAATTAAGGAAACTCATTTTTCTTAAGTGCCTAAATGTTAAACTTGCTTTACAGGCCATCAGTGACACTCCTTTATTATAACATTTGCAGCAGAGCAACACAGGATGTGCCATGCTCCAACTCTCAGAAGTCAGACCTCATAGCAGAAATATCCATCATCTGTCTTGTGTACAGGCTAAAGCAGTAACCATATGGCCTTTAGGCCACCTGGAAAAATCATTTATAATTTGTGGGGATTACTCTCTATTAAAATGTTATGTTTAAGCCCAATTCAATTATACTTGAAAGTAAACAATCAAGGAGTTATTTTGTTTGGCACAAGAGGGAGACCGGAAGAGAGAATGGTAAAACAAAACTGAATGCCTGAGAAGTGTCTGGAAAAAAAAAAATAAAAATGAGGTGGTAAGAATAATCAGAAAGCCTGGATCACAAGATCCAGGTTCCACTCCTGTGTCTGCCATGGCCTTTGCTCTGTGACCAAAAATGACTTGGGGATTTGTAATGGAATTTTAAAAGCGCTTAAAGGAAGAGTACAAGCAATAGTACAATGTCAGTCCCAACTTTCTTACTGTACTTTCGGTAGCGCATTTGGTAGTCTTTGCTGTTCAGAAAAAGAGACTGAAAAAGGACTGTCTCTTCTGAAAAAGGGACAATCTACATTCCACAGAGATACTTTAACAGCTGCACAGTATTTCTGGTTTTAGATATTCAGTGAATAAGTCCCCTTCCATAAGTATAAAATACCTCTAAGAAAGGGAAACACAGCATGTCTGCCTGAACAAATCATGTTTGCGTAAAGACAGAATTCATAGCCAATACAGAGAATAACGTACAGCTTAAGAAAATGCAAGTGTTCCAAGTAAATAAACACAGAGCTTAAATCTGGAAAACCTGTCCCTGTTTTTCATACCATAGCTGAAAGGCCACTATCTGGGGTAATACAGGCTCCCCATTAAGGGCAAACAAGCAATATGATTCAGATCCTTCTTGAAACAATGGAACTGTCACCATGAAAAACAAAGGTACGTGGGCAGGTAGCTTCTGCTAGGTATTCTTTAAGAATATAGAGGTGCACATCCACAAAGAGGAGAAAGGCCAGAGGAACAAGCACAAAACCACAACCAAACAGGGAGAAAGAGCGAAGAAAGAGGGGTCCGGATACTGGAAAGAGGCTTTGAATTTTTGCTTTACAATGTTGTATCACTGCTTTTGCAGGGAAACTAAATTCTGTATGTTTCTTGAAAGCACAAATGAACACACATCTGACCACATCATCTCTTCTTGGTCCTGAAATACCCTGATTTTGGTCCACCACCTCAAGATTGCAACAGCAGCAATGGGTATTACACAACTAGTTATCACCAAACCTTCCTAGATTTACTAATTTCCATTGTCTATGGAATAAGTTCCACAGATGAATAAGGACTAACAAACTTATCATTTACCACCTATGAATTCAGTCAGTCATAAGTCTCTAATTTATGAACTGAGAAATTTCAGTTTAAGTTCAACCATTCTATTTTTCATTATATTTGTCCCTCCTTATTCTTTTTTCCCAAGATTTGAAGTCTCTTCACCTAAGAATTTCTCACATGTGTGAAGATAATTAAATCCTCTCCCAAGTGCCAACATAGTCCTTTTATAACGAGGAGATGAAGACTGTGCTCATTTATTCTAGGTGAAACTGCACCTTTAACAGAATATCATAACTATTGATATTCAGTGTTTGGTATGTTCTGTCCCACTCTTTGTGCATCCTGTAACTGTTTTTCTTCTTGTAATTGCACATCTAGTTCAGGTCCACAAAGCCATCTGGGCACCCCTGAATACAATATATGAATAGCTGGGTTTCCTCTAGAATGCACTAACTCACGTTTAGTCTAGACTAAATTGTTAGTCTAGATATTAGACTTAACTTTTTAGTGTACCGAATGTTAACTTAGCACATACATTCAGCATTTCAGACTCCTCCACAGGATTTGGCTAAGCTCTTTCTTCCATATAATATTATGTATCAGTGGTTTCAGTGCTCATTCTCCTTTCTAAGATTTTGTGGAAAATTTGAACTTTAAAATCTTGCAGAGATGTTTGAAATGAATTTTTATTTTTGGCTTCACTGTGGCATATTGACAGGTTAGAAGTAGCTCACACCTGAGTGTATTCTCTAAGGAACCCCTCTTCCCCCCAACTCTGACAAAGCATTTACCAGAGACCATAAAACCAGGTAACCCAATAATTACATACCTGTCCAAGTGAAAAGCTGCCACTTCTGCATTGTGTCTGTCATAGCCAGCATACGGTTCTCCTTCCACTACATAATCCCTGGCATATCTGTAATCAAAATAAGTCAAAGTGATTCATGCAAGATTTCCATCAATTTTGCTGTTCAGAGTAACGAGACAGTGCTATGTTAAACAGACTCTGAGTTGCTTTCAAAATTATTGCAAATGGGTGATGGAAAAGTATTAATGAGATTAAATAGCATACAGACTGTTGAAGTAGTAAATAAGGGGGAAAAGGTCAGCAACGTACAGTGGTCTCAAGACTTTAGGAAGCAGTGCCCATTCAAACGAATGGGTTTTAATTCAACCATATGCCAAATCACATCTAAGAAGAAAGAACAGACCCAGCTACAGAACAGGGGACTATTAATAATGGAAAGCAGCAATTCCACAAATGATTTGGGGTTAGAATGGATTGCAGATTAACATGAAAACACAACATGATCTTGTGGAAGAAATGCCAAATGCAGTCTTCAATAGCTAGAAGATCAGCAAGCGTGAACCTGAGAACAATACTGGATATTAAAAAGACCCTCTATTCTAGTGGAGAAAAGACATAATGAACAGCAAGAAACCGAAATTAGACACTCATTACAACAACAACAGTATTATTTTGGTGAAGTGGCGGGCTTCCGGGCTTCCGTCCCTTCCCCCCCCTTTTTTTTTCTTTTAATAAATGTTACTTAAATGGTCAAGGCAAACACAAATTCTAAGATACATTACATGAATCAGGTGTAGATACTACTTAACCAGCATGCTTCCAGGTGAGCCTAAAATACCACAATCAATACCAAGCAAATGGGGGAAATTCAATAAATTTTCAAATAAGGTAAACCCAGATTAGATTACTTATTTTCTCATTTCCATTAACATATCAAATTGTGTAAACTGGATTATTTCCAACAGACTCGAGGTTCAAGCAGCAGCAGCAAGTGTAAGAGAAGCCACAGTGATGTTTTAACCCTTCCAAGAGAATATCTGGGGCAAGACAACATTCCATTTCATCAGTTTGAACAAATGCTTTGCCTTCTGTGCAAGGCAACTCAAAAGACAATTAACCAGTTCAGGATGGTATGCAGATTTTTGGGGAGGAAGATCTGACAGAATCCTGCCAAACTGGAACTTACACCAAACAAGCATATTATTTCACAGACACCACTGGCATGTGATGGTAGAAACTATTAAATCATTAGTAACTTTGTCTGGATTTCAAGGAATTTTGAAATGAGACAGCTAACCCTCAGAACATGTCCTCGAAGTCTGGTCTTTTGTATGTACTTACAGCAGGCTTTTGAAAACATGGTCACATTTTGAATGCTGCCAAGCTAAAAGTTATTGGTAAAACACAACCAAATTCTTGCTCCCATGCATAGTAGGCATCTAGTCCTTTCTAGAGAAAAGGTAACAAGAGAATTCATTCTTCCACAACCAGTAAGTTTTCTCAAAATGGTTTTTAGTACTAACTTTGCATACCTTTCAGGTCAAAAGCTAGTTAAATAGACTATCTTGCAATGACAGAACAAGACTCTACCTACAAACCTATTCGGCAGTCACAAACAGAACACGGGTCTACCAGTACGGCAAGGGCCATACTGCCTAGCACTCCTATAAACTGTCTAGCGCTCCTATAAACATTCCCAGCTGCACATGTCCCTGATGGAGCATAGTCACTGAGTTTGCCTGCACAGACATTCTGTTATGGGAATGTAATTTAATGCCTGGTGAAACACTTTACAGCACCCACTTATATAGAAATGCCATGTCCTGTTACTGCATTTATTGGATGAGCTGCCTGTCATACCACCAAGACTTCTGAGTGAAAGGTTCATACTGTTGAAATGCTGCCTAGCCCCACAGTGAAGCTCCAGCCAGACCAGTAGTTGACCAACAGGACTTGAATTCAAGAAGTGGAGGACAGATTTCTTTTTTTCCCATTCTCTATTTATTAACATGAAAGAAAAACTTCGTGGTTGCTCAACCCAATATGCTTTGGAGGGAAATGTACTCATTCCATGATAACACCACTTTACATTTGCAGTGTGATCCCATAAAACGCACCTGCCTTTTTCACATCATTTTCTTCTCCTTTTCCCTGAAGGCAAACAATTCAAAAAGCCCGACAGATGTGCACAAGACTCTATAAATGTTCAATCATGTAAAATTTCTCTGCAGATAAATGTAAACAGAAGCCATACCAAGGGAGTATCACTACCCACCCATTCTTACATTGCACCTCCAGTATTCACTATCAGCAGACAGGAAATTCAGGAGCTTTCACTCTGACCTACAACACCGTTTTTACAGTCTTCATGCAGCCACAGATCTACTTTTAGGACCAGTATCAACTTTCAGTCCTTCCCTGTTCTTGAACTGCATTCTCTCATGGTAGTTTGACATGATCCCTATGCAGAAAGAATAGGCAAGACTTGTCTCAACGCTGCCAGAACCTCCACTTCCAGAATCAGAAAGATACTGCTTAGAAACATCAGGTTTAACCAACATTGCCCCAGGACTGAACACGGGGATTATCCTTTTAACCCAACGACAGGCTGTTTCAAGCATCAAAGCTATACAGGCTGAGAGACAGCTGGCACAGCAACCTAATGTTACTAGAGCACCAGCAAGGCTCTATACCATCTGTCTCACAAACAACAGGATAGCCTTTCCATTTACATGTAAGTTTGTAACTTAAACATTAATGCAATATCATGGAGATAAAACATATACATGAATCAGTTATTAACTGAAGGAAATATTTACCTCTTGGGTTTGAAGACAACCTTCTGTCCTCCTTCAAGGATTAGCAAAGCTTTCAGTTGGGTCCCTTTGTATCCCACATCAGCTTTTATTATTTTCTTGGTTGTCATGGCATGCATAACAGCCCCAAGCTCAGGTGTGTCTTCAGGATACACCTCCCGGGGCACCACCCACTGGGCTGCAATCTCCCAAGGGGACTGCAACGTATGGTCAAGTCGGGGGTCCAGTTCTACATGGAGGCTTGCCATCATACGGTGAAAGGCGCGCTGGTCTTCCCGGTTGGCAGCTGAGGTGTCCAAGTTGTCAATGAGGAAAACTTTTGTGAAAATGAAGATGACAAGGAGGATGGCCAGCAGCACAACTCGCTGCTTTAGCTTCATGGTGACCCTTCTCCCCTGACCCTTTCTTCCAAGTGTTACAGGAAGTCTATTGGAGATCAGGGTGAGGAAGGGATGTTAGTTAATGAATTTCATTCATAACTTGCATTGTGAAAGAGGTATCACCACTGAAGCATCTTCTGGTACTCCTAAAAATAAACAAAACCCACAAAATAACAGAACTGTATTACTGCAGATCCCAGCAAACTCAAAATCAAGTTTGTGCTTGGAACATAATTCCACATTTATGTATGTTTGTATCCTAAAGCTCAAACATTTCTGTTAAAACAGATGGGGTTTCTGTCCTCCTGTAGCTCTTCAGCAACCTGCACAAAGGGAGAAATTGCCCTACAGCATTATCTACACAGCTGAAATCATAACAGCTGCAACTACCATGGGCAAGACTTTTGCAGAGAATTGTTACACAAACAATTTTCCATTAGTAAGAGACCTGTGACCAGTTTCATGACCTGTGGCCTCCTAAAGATTTGTCCCTCAAGAGAAACCTCCCAGGTAGATTTTCTGACATCTGACAACCAGTGAGAACAGATGCACAGCCTAATTTCCTAAAGGTACAAGACATAAGGACAGAATAAACTAAATTTGTTTACTGCCTTTCATTTGCTGCCACTATAAATTACTCAGCTTTTGGCCTTGGCCAGTAGAGTGTTACCACGTTAAGGACCATATAACACACAATCAATTTTGTTTCAAATTATGAAGACGAAGACAGAAATTATCTTCATAGTATTAGCTGAATGTAGTCAAAACCCAAATGGAAACAGATACTAAAGCACATCCCTGAGGAACACTCTGAGGCATTTCTCTTTGCACAAGCTATGCTAATCACAAAACCCATAAATGGCACCCTGAGCTGTGTCAGGACTAGTATAGAAAAGCCTTCTCATAAGATTTAGTAATGAGCGTATAAACCAGTCATTGTTAATCATGCCACTGGAAAAACAAGCTGCACAGACTAAGTTAATTTACCAGCAGCAACCAGAGGACACCAGGCTATGACTGGCCAGCCAAACACAGGTCACAGCCATCTTCGGTGTCTGTGCGAACACTGAGTGCTGCTTGCAGAGGTCACAGGGGTACAACAGTTGAGAGGCCTGAGCATACTGTTGAGGTACATATTCACTGAAGATTAAGGTTGTGGCACACAACAGATAACAGTAAGGCACATCCTTTGTGCAAGTCTGAGTGCAGAATCAGTTTTAGTACAGTGTAAGAGTTCAAGTATAAAAGCAAGTGCAAGACCACAAATAACTCTGCAGCACCTTAAGTAAATTTACATTAGGTCTACAGCAGACCCACCCTACCTCCCAGCTAGGTGACTCTCCCACCCTCCTGTGTGACACTGTTAGCATTCAAACAACCCAGCTTCAAGGTAGGTCATGATCCAGGTTACCAACCCACCTGAACATTAACCACCTTCTTTGGGTTGTGTGTGAATTACCCTGTTAGTTTTTGAGCCTGTGCAAGTTTGTCATCTGACTACAAAACACTGCTAATGGTGCAAATCAGAGACAAGGGAGGGCAGCACAGCACTTCTCGCAGAAGTGATGACCATCAAGGGTCTACAAAGCCTAGCTAGCTATAGAGCAGTGTCATTCAAAGAATGACCCTGCCCTCCATGTACTTCCCACCTTCATGCAATGAACTCCATGAAAGACCCGATCAGTGTTAAAGCTCAAACATTTTTAATTATTAATTTCTGGCTTCAGCCTTCCTTCTCTCAAATCTGGTTTCCAACATAGTTTCATAAGCATCTGAGGAGGGTACACCAAGAGGCCAAGAACAAGTGTTTCTCCTGGCAGCAGCACTAGTGATTATACATGCAGGTAAAACTATGTCCCAGGCCAGCCCGACAAAGAATAAGCAGCTGAACCACTCAGAAACAGTCACAATGAGCCCCACCAAAAGGGACAAGGAAATCTAGTAACAAACGGTCAGATCTTCCTATTTTCAAAATCACTCTTTTCAACACAGCAACCAAGCTGAGCATCACTCAACTTAGATGCAGAAGCATGGCTTTTAGCTCACTTTACACCCCAAATTTTTCTGCCGTGATTGTCCTGCCTCAGGTGAAAGCTCTGTTCAGTTTGGCCTTTCCCAAGTTACACATTTTGCCTCTTAAATACTTCCTGTAAAACCTATCCACTAAAACAGAAAAGAAAGTGAAAGTTTCCTAATGAAAATGAGTCAAAACTGAATTGTGAACAAGTGGCTTAATGTTAATAGAAACCACTTGCAGCAACATAAAAACCTCATGAAGGGTAGAGTGTAGAGCAAAGACCAAAAGAAAGCTGCCAAGTTTCAGGAATGCTTCAAACTAGTACTGTATTCCCCTGTTAACTGTGTAATACTGATTTTAATCTACTGGAAAATGCATGCTTGTGCTAATAATGAAAGATAACGAATCACAAGTTTATATGGAAATTAAAACATATTATTGTTCCCAGTTCTGTTTTGCTCATCTCAGTTCAGCTTGTATACCTCAAGCAGCATGTCAGTCTGCATTTTACACACTACAAGGATGAGACTGAAAAGCACAGATAAGGAAAATGCACTTGACCTGAAAGCCCTTACTCTTGGGAGCACAAACACACCCAGAAAGAGAGCCCTATATACTACTATTACTATTCTTAAATTTAAAAAAGCAAGCAAAAGAGATCAGGCTGTAATTGTACCCTCTCATTGCAACATAATTTCACCTCTTTAAAACTTGCAATTCTAAATCATTTTGAACATTGCTGTTATCTGGATCTGCTTTCATTCATTTTTAAAATCCATTAGAGTTGATAACAAGTTACACAGAACACAGATCATTTCAGAACAGCTACTCCTCATTATGAGATACGTATGCACATGCACATACATATTAAGAAAGCCTCACAGCCCAGCATTGGCCAACTGAAGCACAGGACAGAAATGTTTCATACCTTTGGAGCTCAAGCTGGGCACTCACTTTCCTAGACTTATTTTCAGGAATGCTGAGTTTCTTTAGGGGTATTCTTCTTGGGGGGTGGGCAGGAGAATATAACTACAGCCACCACTTAAATTAAAGGCCATTTACTTAGCTTATCATTTGTGACAGCTTTGAAACTAATGGTGGCTGAAATACTACAATGACATAGATAAAATTACAGGAAAAATATATTTAAACATTTGCTGGCGAGTGGGCTCTGACTTTTTACTGACATCTGACAAAATGAGTCATCAGCTGTTTTCCTCCAACAAACAACAAAACACCCCTGAGGTTGCTATGCAATTGATTTCACAGGCTACCTGCAAAGCCTGCATATTATTCCATGGGTGCTGACACTACACTCACTGCTGTACAAGATAACACAAATTAATCCCTTCATGAAGTTTACCCCAGAGAGCAAGAGCTTAGGCTTTCTTGTTTTAAATTCAAGATGGCAAGAGTGACAGCGTTGAGGTGATGTAAGAAAATTGTAAAGAATTTGGGAAGAAAGTAATTTGAAGAAAAGGACAAGACTTCAGAAAATACCTGGATAGGAAAAGAGGATTATGAAAGCTCAGGAAGCCTGAAGCTGGTCCTGGAATGAGGACAGACACGGGAAAGGTGGCCACAGAAACAAATTAAATAATAACAAAATCCCAAAATCTTAAAAAGGACAAATAGCATGAGCAGAACTCTGGAACAAAGGAGAAAAGGGTCTAGGACAACAACAAAAGTAAGCCCAAGGATAATCTTTAAAGAAGACCCAAAAAGGAAATAGTTCTAGAAACTGGCACGCTGACAGGGTAAGGCAAGGGTCTTCATGCTTGACGAAGAGGCAGAGGAACAGAGTAGCTGCTTACTCCTACCTAAGAGTCATGGGAATACAGGATGCACAAAATTACTGTAGATGCTCTTTGAACCAGGAAGCATTAGAGAAGGAAGAGCTGAGATGAAGTTTTCCAAAGTCAAGTGTCTGACTAGAGCTGATGTGATACAATGACAGAGCAATCCCTGTGTACCTACAGTCCCAGAACTACACACATTCCCTCCTGCTGTTGGGCAGCAGCTGCTGATCTCTTACCAAGGTCATGTAATTCTGAAAGTGTTGGTTTCGGTTTTTTGTTTGGTTGTGGTTTTTCCCCTCCTCTTTTCCATTTTTTAACTTTTATTTTTCCTGAGCTTCTGTTTAGCATTATTCTCTAGCTGAGTGGAAGACATCACTAAATGGAAGACATAATCCAAAGAGTTTTATTGCTTTACAACCCAAACTCAACATTCATGTTACAGAAGAAAAACCTCACTTCCCTCTCTACCATTTTACCACACTCCTGATCAACCTGGAAAAGAAAACAGTGAGAAATAAACAACCATCCCAGCTTTTTAATAGTGCAGTCATCTGGCAGGTTTGCATAATAAATGCTTCCTGTTTTTTCACTATCTCTTTGGGGTATTTCCTGATCAATTTTGTTCTTGTTACAACCAGGTTTGTATTCTCAGCAAGTCATAGAGTCAATATCCAAATAGTAGCATCTTCTAAATATCATGGTGGGGTCACTGTGCGCACAAATGTCTGAACTAAAGCATGTCTACTGGCATTAAATACCAATATCATACCACTTTACCATCAGTTAAAAAGCAGCAAGAAATGTGCCTGTTACAAAGAACAGCAAATCAGAACTACCGTAAGCAGCCTATCAAGTTAGCAGAGAACCACACCCCAGAAAGCAATTTTCATTGGAGTCACAAGATCAATGCCATGTCACATATCATGATCTTACTTTTTACACCACAAAGCTAGAAAGCTACTATCTCAAAAACATTTGTGTTCAATTCGCAAGGATTTTGTTATGCTACAAATGACAAACAAGGTCTGAGGGCAGACAAAGGCTTAGTTTGTCAGCACAAGTACACAAATGAAATAATCTCAAACAGATGCCAATCTGAAATAAATATGGTTAAGTATGCTCTAATTCCTGTTGAAATGTATGTTTTCTCTTCCTAAATATGCTGTGCCTTTAGGGTCTTTAAAAGTTCTCCAGTAAATCCTGAAAAATGCCTTGAAGAAACAGTACATACAGTAGCGTCATTTTCCTCTTCCCAAAATGTACCCAAAACGATCAGTCTCACCAGATCAATCTTTCCTCCTATCCTCCCCTCTCTGGCCAACTCCTTGGCAGCTCATGCTTTTCCTCTTTGCATCAGCCTTGCTATTTCAGCTTTCACAGGCAGGCTTCCACAGACCTTTGCTTAGATTTTTCAGACTCGTTCTGTCACTTCTACTTTTTGTATGCTGCCTGGTTTGTGTATGAGTTTAGTAATCCAGTGCACAAGGCTTCAAACGTATTTGCTTGCCTGCTATTTCTCTATCTCTCTTTCTGTTAAGGCGCCTGCCGTCTAACTATAGGCAAAATCTTTGTGACAGTCTATACTCAAACTTTCCATATGCACAACTGTACCCCAGTTGAGAGCTAGAATATAAATACGAAAGATCACAAGCATTTTAACCACTGTATTATCTACGCCTGAAACTCTAAAAATTAGTAGCTGCCCAATATATTCTCACGTCTTCTGAGAGAAATTAAATCTATTTTGTCCATCTGTCTGTCCACCATGTCTCATTATATTCCTTAATAACTTTAGAATCCATTACCAACATTTCTGCCAAATTTGTCAGAAGAGTAATTCCATGAGTTTTACAAAGCCAACTGGCCAGACAGAAGACAGAACCCTCAAGAAGCCAAGGACAATATGGTTTATAACCTCAATCTTCACTAGCAGCCAGCTGGGCACAGACAGCACCTGGATGCAGTCTGGGGAGAGGGAAGCTACTGGGGGACTGAGGGTGATGGGAGTTACTGGTGGACAGGAGTCACTATGGTAGGATGTGGCAAGCAAGTCTTCAGGAAACCAGATTTCATTAATGCTCCTCACAGAACAACTTTCCTTCAAGCACAGTTTCCTACGGAAACAAAGTTTATATAATTACACTTTTCTCCGGTAACCTTTGGATCCATTGGCTAACTTCAAATACATTTGAGAGGACAGTAGATGTTTTGAAGACAAAGTTTATGTGTTTATTGGAAATTGGCAGCTGGGAACCACTGCAGGAAAGGCTTCAGTGTTAGCTCAACAGCTGTCTGTTTGCCTTAGCCATGTGGGCAACCAGTGTGCTCACAGCTGGTACATGAAGAGAGCTGGAAACCCTGTATGGGGAAGGAAGGAACGGTATGGGACACTGACATACAGTAGCAATGGGCCTGTCTCTGCTATAAGATAGTGCAAATCAACTTCCCCCGTTTGTGAGAGGAAAGGCAGTGGATGATGAACCAGAGGACAAGAGATTGTGGTACAGATTGAGCTGGCAACTCTGTTAATGTGTGAGGAAACAAAATCCACCTCACCCTCCTGCGAATCTGTAAGGCAGAGACAAACCTTGTTGCAACTTCGTAGGTCAGACTAAAGGACACAAGGGGTGCACAGAGTAATTTTCAAACCAAAATAAAACCAGTGTTAATACCCTGTTCTGTAGTAAGTACCAGGTGGGGTGGGGGGGGACCTATTCACATGGAATTCACTGCAGGACTAAA